AACTAATGCAGCAGAAATTTATAGAAACAAGGATCTTTTCATTCATAACAGGTTCGGGGGTTTTTGTATATTATTTGAATTGTTTGCGACGATGGATTTCTCGCCAATTAAATCATTAACCTCTATATTTGTATGAATGATATATATATATATATATATATATATATAAATATAAAAAAAAAAAAAAAAAAGTAAGTGTTTGTATATAAAAGCAGAACATGTTAGATCTTTAACGTTTCCTATTTCCATCATTCTATATATATATGTGTGTGTGTGTATAGGAATGTTTAGAAAAGTGTACCTCAGGCGTTATAGATACAGTGCTCAATGTTAAGAAACAGAGCTATAAGTATATTCACTAATATATATATATATATAGAGAGAGAGAGAGAGTGAGAGAGCTTAACAAAGCGTAACATGTTACATAAAGCCGAAAGTATGGAACACCCAGTGAGGATCGAACTCACTATTCAGTCGTAACTGCTTTAGTAAGAAAAGCTTGCTAACCATTACACCACGCCGAGGTGTTCAATAACCGGGGTGGAGAGGAGAAGAAGTTGATTCAAGGGTATTAGCACGGAAGTAAATGTAATGTATTCGACTGAAATTCGAACTCGGCTCTCTGATTCTTCAATCCGAGTCGCTATCCATTACTCCACCATGAAATAATGGGAAAGTGCAGACATAAAAAACATTTCCTTCGCCATTTAAACATTAATTAATATGTTAATATATATGGACATATGGCTACGTATGTATGCATATATATGTCTGCGTGTGTTACGGCCGTTGTACGCTCCAGCCTTCTTCAGTTGGTTGGAATTTCGAACTGAACCCTTTATTTCGCTCGCTGGGGTAGACTGTTCTAGTTCCACCTGCCATGTCTAATGGGTGTCAGTTATCAGTTATCTCCTGTTAATTTCCCTCTGAAAGTTCTCCACTGCCTTAGCCGGGTATTGAATTCACAGTCTACCCCAGTGAGCGAAATAAAGGGTTTATTTCGACATACCAAACAACTAAAGAAACGGCCGAAACGTTGTAATAGATATCGCGACAAAGATGAGGACAATAGTCCGAATAATGTAAATAATGAACCGTCGTCTTATTTGCACAAATTATATAATTTGGAAATCAGCCATTTTTCTAATATTTCTTCTGACTATTACGTTTATTTCCTTTTCTATTACCGAAACGTTTCGGCCGTTCCATTCTGAAGCATTCTTCAGGTGTACTACCCGTATGAAAAATAAAACATATTTTTTTTTAATATGTCAATTATAGATCATCGCTATCCACAGAGTCTCCGTCATAAATAACTGTGAATTGTCATTCATATATATATATATATATATATATATATATATATACTATTTACATTGCTCAGACTATCATCCTCTTGTTTGTTGCCATATTTGTCATAACATTTCAGCCGTTGTACGCTCCGGCCTTCTTCAAGTGGTTGGAATGTCGAACTGAACCTTTTATTTCGTTCGCTGGGGTAGACTGTTCTAGTTTCACGTGCTATGTCTAAATTATGTCAGTTATCAGTTATCGCCTGTTAATTCCCCTCTCCAATTTCCAGGTATTGAACTCACACTCTTTGGGTCCTGTCACTGGATCTAACTAACGCCTTTATCCACTGTGCTATGTGTCCTTGAGAACATCTGTGTACGAATTTCTGGGTATTATAAATCTAATGTCTTCAGCAATCATTTTTACCAGTGCTCATATTGCAATTTGTGCTGTTATCATTGTACGTGGACAACCCGGACATCTTCCGGGCCACATCAGGAAGATGTCCAGGTTCTACTGGACCATGGGAACTCTTTAGTAGTGGTGAACGAAAAACTTGGAGAGTTGAGTTGACGGAAAGTAACTCAAACTTCCGAAAGAGGCATGGCACGTGGGACTAGAACAATTTACTCCGGTGGACGAAATAAAGGGTTCGGTCCGAAAGTTCAATCATTTGAAGGAAACTGATGCGTACAACGACCGAAACTTTATGAATATGGCAATGAAGATGAGGATAACAGTCCGAATCATATAAATAATGTAAGTAATGTATGTGTATGTGTGTGTGTCTGCATATGTGTGTGTATGTGCGTGTGTGTCTGCATATGTGTGTGTATGTGCGTGTGTGTCTTATTTGTATAATATATACGTTAGTCTTTTTTTCTGGAATTTATGCTACGTATATATAAGCCTATTTAGTAGGTTAGTGACGAGACTCTGCGTAAATATGGGTTACTGTACATTTAGAACAATTTTCAGACGGCAGCATCTTGTGGTTTGTTGTCGCGATTCTGTTTTTGCTGAATTTAATTGAAAAATGGATTAAATGTTTGCAATTCTTAGCTTCATGTTGCGCTGTTTTTCGATAACAATAACCGTTTATTTTATTTTATATATATATATATATATATATATATATATATATATATATATATATATATATATATATATATGTGTGTATATGTTTGTGTGTGTGTGTTCGTGTGTGTTTGTGTGTATTTATGTCTGTGACCTTCTACATGAATTATTTTTTCACAATACACACGATTTTTTTTCTGACCCTCAGACGTTTCTCTTACATCTTTTCTCTTACATTTGAAAACACATTTTTTCTTTCACACACATAAACACAGTTTTTGGGATACACATATATACACTTTCAAACACACATGCACTTAGCCCTCTCCCCCCATTTTTATTTCTCTGCCTTTTTCTCTCACACATACACAGATTCACGCACACACATACTCGAAACTATTTCATACACTTCCTACTTCATTCTCACACATACACTAATGTAGTGTTGAATATGTAAACAACAGTTCCTCTTTCAAAACAGCTAGAAACATATCTCATATCTTCGAGCAACTCCCCAATAGACAAATTAAAAAAAACTTTTTAACAGTATATTTCTTTCCTAGTTTCCATTTTTTTCGCGAAGAATGACAGATTATTTTGGCGCAGTAAATCTCCTTGGGGATGGAACTTAATAACTGGGAAATTATCTGTATTAAATTTATATTGATTCCATTGCTTCGTCAGATGCTAAGGAAGTCGGTTCATTGTCGTGCAAGACTTTTTTCTCCCCAAAATTTTATCTTACCGGGTACGATAGGTAAATTGTGGCCATTTTATATCTTTAATTTCGCGCGTGCGCATTGTTTGTTTTTAATTTTGTCGACAGAACAGTACAGTAGAGTCAGTTGGGCATCGTCTGTGAGAAAAAGTGCACCATGACGCAATTCACTCAGCCAGAAAATTGGAAACGGCATGCTATACTGCTTGGCATTCGCGCCGGAAACTCCAATACGAACATTTCAGTGTGCTTGGTTGTTAATCTGGGGACAGAGCACAGGATTCGGAAAGAGTTGGATGATACATTCAGTCAGCATCATGGTGTTTGATGTGACCACGAGTGATGGCGACGTTATGCCTCTTCCCGCAGAGGTTAAGACTCAACACGGAGGCCTACATCGGGTGCCCTGAGGAGGTAGTGCTGCCCTGGGTCAAGAGAGTGGCTGTTGGAAGTGCCTATGTCTAGCAACAGGACTTCTCTGTACCATGCCACACAAAGAGGAGAACCCAGTCATGACTCACAGACCACATCACCCCTTACACATGGTCACCAAACTCCCCAGACTGCAAACCCCTTTGATTATTATCTGTGAGGCGCAGTTGAGCGAGAAATCAACAAAATTCCTTGTAACACCAAAGATGAACCGAACGCAAGGATTATGGCAGCATTCACCAACTTAAACAAGCAGGTCGTCCAGAAGATGCAGGAGATTCCAAAGTCGTCTGGAGAATGTGGTTTAAAATGGCGATTTTATTGAATAAATTTACTCTTTAGTATTTCAAGATATTTTTGTGTTATTTTGGTAAATATATATTTATATATATTTTGGTAAATATATCTATGAAAATGAGATATCAGTGTATTTTTCATTTTTGCGTCATTTAGACGACAATTTATCCATCGCACCTTGATAAAATCCAAAATAGAATAAGCAATATCATTAGTCTTGATCCGGCCTCTCTGCTTCAGTCCCTTTCCCATCACCGTAAAATTGCCTCCCCGTATCTTTTTTTTTTTTTTTTTTATAAATATTTTATGGTAAATGTTCGGATGAGCTCTTCACTATTGTCATATTGTAAATATACATTGGAGCTAGACTTTTAAATTGTTGTTTTATTCCCCTCCCTCACAGACAATGAATTGTACATATAGGGACTAGTTAAGAGTTTCATAAAGACAATGAGGTATTATGGTGAATGTAGTAAGAAAGGTAAGTAAGAATGCGTTGTTTTGCTGCAAGGAATATTGTTGTATGTTTGGGTAAGTGTTTGTGGCTAACTAAGTTTAAAGTTAAGACACTCTGTCGGGCTAGATATTATTTATCTTCATAATCTATCTTACATATCTATAAGTCTACCATTCGTCCATGCTTAGGATATTGCTGCCACATATGTTCCAGCGCTCCTGCTATATAGCTAGAGATCCTTGATAAAATCCAAAATAGAATCAACAATATTATTGGTCTTGATCTATCGTATCGGCTTCAGTCAATTTCCCACCGTCGTATACTTTCATGGTAATTGTTCGGATGAGCTCTTCACTATGGTACCTAGACATTATAAATTTAAGCGCAGTACTTGACTGGTGATGAGGTCTCATCAGTTTACAGTTGTCTAGGCTACATGTAACCGTAAGTTCTATGCTAACAGTTTCTTCTATCGCTCTTCTCGCTTGTGGAACTCTCTTCTGGCTTCTTGCTCCCCAGTCAAATTTGATCTTCAAAAATTGAAATGCAATGTTAATTGGTATCCACTGTTTTCCCGATTACTCTTCTTTTTTCTCGCTTCTTAGTAATGTTTCTATTATCTAATTCTTTCACACCCAGTAAGCATTCTTTCTATTTTAGTGGCTTTCTTGCCTTGTTTGGGTGAAGATGATTAAGAAAAAAGTTACGATACTTACCATGTGTTAGACTAAGTTTTATCTATCTATCTATCTATCTATCTATCTATCTATCTATCTATCTATCTATCTCAGTGTTTCTTTTCTTTCTTTCTTTCTCTCTCTCTGTGTGCTTCTCTCTCTCTTTATCTCCCTCTCTCTCGATATAGATGTATGTGTGCGTGTGCGCATTCTAAATGAGAATAATCATTTTTATGCATTGACTGCCACAACCGCAACAACTGGCTCATCTATCTATCTAGCTAGCTAGCTAGCTAGCTATTTATCTGTCTATCTAAGCCCATTTTCTCTATCTAACTCAGTTTTTATTTCTATCTCCATACTCATGTTTTTAATTTTGCTTATTTGTTTCTCTTTCTTTGTTTCTTTCTTTCTTTCTTTCTTTCTTTCTTTCTTTCTTTCTTTCTTTCTTTCTTAGTCTGTTCATATCTATCTATCTATCTATCTATCTATCTATCTATCTCTGTTCATTTTTCTATCTAACTCAGTTTTCATTTCACTCTCCATACTCATGTTTTTAATTTTGCTTGTTTGTTTCTCTTTCTTTTCTTTCTTTCTTTCTTTCTTTCTTTCTTTCTTTCTTTTCTTTGTTCATTCTTTCTTATCTATCTATCATCTATCTATCTATCTATCTATCTATCTATCTATCTATCTATCTATCTATCTACTTTGTGTTTGGCTAATAGTATAATCCTTATCATATACTAGACTAAGTTCTATCTATCTATCTATCTATCTATCTATCTATCTATCTATCTATCTATCTATCTATCATTGAATCATGAAACAACTGTCAGACACCATGCAGTGTTGATTCCTATGTCCACACTTTCTACTTATTTAGAGGGCGAAATAGTTTGACGTAACTGTAAGTTATGTTTGGATCCTTATTAAAGCAAAGACTTTGAATGCTAATTCTCAAAGCTAGAAATCTATTCGAAGCTTAAAGATTAGAGCATCTCGATTCCCTAATTCTTTTCCGAACATCGGTAGTCAATATATTTATGTTAGCCTAAATTTTGCAATGATTGCATGACATAAATTATTTATCAATATTTCATTGAGTTTATTTTAATTAGGTACAAGGCCGTTGTAGTGAGACACTTAGTGTGGATCAGACTCGCCATATTCGCAAATTGGATTGTGATGTGACCCTTCTCACCTCACCTAGTTTTGTGTCTTGCATAGACTATTTGCTCTCTGATTGAATTTGTTTTGTTTGTAGAGCCACAGACTTCAAGATTAATTATATTCTACGATTATGTCGAGCTGCAAACGTAAACCAACTTGGACCGCATCAAATATTATATAAACATTGGAATCTGAAGATTAAATTTACAACTGATCTCAAGCTTCCGGAAAAGATTGATTTGAAGAACTAATCGACCAAAAGTTGGGATAAATTCTTTTAATTTTCTTCAATACGGCTTGTGACCAGGAAAAAATCTGTATGGAAAAAAGTGTTGCTTTTTTAGCGTTTTCTGGTTTCTAGTATTTTATGTCTGTTTCTACTAAGAAGGAGATGTGCGTGTAGGGTAGCGGTTATCAGCGCGGAAAGTGGGATAGGCGAGCCAAGTTCAAATTCCGGGCAATGCTGTTGCGTTCGCTTTCTTAGGAAAGGTATAAATCCTTCCTATGGATTAAATAGTAGGGTAGACTAGACATTCTTGTGGCAACCATTCTAAGAGAATAACAATTATGAACTCCCTAAACCGTTGAGAAGCTTACGTGAAACTAATTCACTATATTTCCAAAGAATGAATGACAATTCACAGGTAAATAAAAATGTTTTATTGTTCATACGGGTAGTACACCTGAAGAATGCTTCAGAATGGAACGTCCGAAACGTTTCGGTAATAGAAAAGAAAATGAACGTAATAATCAGAAGAAATATTAGAAAATGGCTGATTTCCAAATAATAGAATTTGTGCAAATAAAACGACGGTTCATTATTTACATTATTCGGACTATTGTGCTCATCTTTGTCGCCATATTTATTACAACGTTTTGGCCGTTGTACGCCCCAGCCTTATTCAGGTGATTGGAATGTCGAACTGAACCCTTTATTTCGCTCATTGCGATAGACTGTGAATTCAATACCCGGCTAAGGCAGTGGAGAACTTTCAGAGGGAAATTAATAGGAGATAACTGATAACTGACATCCATTAGACATGGCAGGTGGAACTAGAACAGTCTATCCCAATGAGCGAAATAAAGGATTCAGTTCGACATTCCAACCAACTGAAGAAGGCGGGAGCATACAATGACCGAAACGTTGTAATAAATATGGCGACAAAGATGAGGACAATAGTCCGAATAATGTAAATAATGTATATAATATCTATATCTCAGAAATATACACAGATACTGAAGATGACGGTTAGTGAAATAAAATCAGCAAAACAGGTTCAAAATTCGTACGAGAGTTTGCATTCATTTTTGATTTCATAGTTCAGATGTACCATGTAACCTAGTAAAATCTGTCACATACTACTTGGCGAACATATGTACACCGCTGTGGCGAAGGGTGACTTTGAAATCGGGACATAGAGTAAACAGTGACTGGTAATTTTTACGAGAAAAATCTGAGAAAATAATAAAATCAGCAAACAGGGCATATTTACAAATTGATTGAAGTTAATTCAAATTCTTTTCGGTGTTTAATTAATTAATCGATCTCTTTGCTTTAGAACGTATCAGCATCATGATTTGCCTTCATCTCCGAAATCAATTGACACAATTTATCTTCGCTTTGAAAACTTAGAAAAAAGCGGTTCACTGCTTTTTCTTTTCTCATTCAGTTAACTTTAAACTTTCAACCTTCTTTCATTCAGTTCTCCCACGTTCTTGATATGTTCAAATCTATCTATATGTACCATTAATAATCCATAGCGCAGACACGTCGTATAATGTTCAGTTTCTGCGATTAGCATTCACCAGTGAATTAAGTGCGTTCAAGCGGAAGGAGATTAAACTGAAAAAGAAATATTTGGTACAAAATAAATGCCTTTCTCCATGATTAATTCAAGGACTTATTTATAAGTTCATGGCCTAATGATGAAGAAAGGCATTCATGCGCATATATACACACATATTAAGTGCGTTTTAACATGTGAATTTAACTTGTGAATTTTGTGTGTATTTTTTAGGTGAAGGTATATGTTCAAAATAAAAGAAGCAGACAAAAAAACTTGAATTTCTGCTACGGACATTTTATGTTGACTGCATTGAAATAAAGTTAAAAGGTCTCTTAAGCATGTCCTTTTTCATTTTGGTTCTGAAATGATTTATGGGAATTACTTAATACGAGCAGGTAAACATGGTTGAGCTCAAGTCAGCCTGGCGCTGACTTGAGAAGACCAAACCTCTACTAGAGCTGCTAAAACATGTCCGACGACGTCGTTGGTAAGTGGGAAAAGTCCAGTCGTCAGTGGACTGGGAAAACTAACATTACCCAGTGGGAACGCTATTACCACGTGGTCCACATCTTGGAGGAGGAGGAGGAGGGGAAAGATTCAGTCCTTTCCGGAAGTGGATCATAAAATCGCACATACGACCAGAAACCTTTTTCGGTTTCTTTATAACTTGCAACATGGGAAAATTAATTAATTTTTTTATTCGTTATTATTATTTTATTTATTGGTTTTATTTCATTTTCCCCACAAACATTCGATGCAAGTTGCATCTCTTTATTGACTTTATATATTTGAAATGAGGTAAAAAACTTGGCAATAATGATATGTGCAATCGTGTTCAATAACATGTGGTTCTGCGCAACAAGAAATAAATGGCAGCCATTTTAAAGATATTTCTTTATCGCTACTATTCTAATTGTTATCCAGTATGGGTCATAAGGCATGTTTCTGCAATAATGACAACGTAGAAATTGTTCAAATACTTCATGATAATAGAATATTAGAAATAGCTAAATACTAGGCAAGTGATCATCGCCCGATCCACAAATTTGTCATAAATCTGGTTGCATATAAACAAATAGAAGCTTTGGACAATTTTTGACTTTCGGTCGACGAATACAAATCCGATTGAAAACTGAAATAGGCAAATAGCCAGTCAAGAATAGCCAAAAACTTATTCAGAGCCACCGATGCTCCAAATATACCTAAAAGATCACAAGAGCACATATTCGTCATAATTTGAAATTCAATCACTTCATTAAACACGACATCTTGACCAAACAATATGAAACTGAATTTCCAGAAAATGCTATTAACGGATGAGTGTTAAGGTGATGCTGAATGGACCGACGGTTAACGAAATGAGTGGTACCTAAATGAGCAATCTGTCTGATTTAGGCATCAGCAAGGAGGATCCGTGTTGTCTTGGGCGGCAATATTCGACAATGGGTTCGATGGTCTCTGAAAAGTGGAAGGTGACCTTAAAATAACTTCTGCTTGCACTTAATTCTTAAAAGCCAGTTTCAAGACATAGTTTAAGAAGACAGTGACATTCAAACAAAAAAGTTATTTTCGTGCATGACAACCAAACCAGCTCATGCTGCTCAGGTTAATGATGAAAACTTAGATAAATCAGAGTTTAAAGACTACAAGACAGTGTGACAGCCGTGTTCACCGGATATAAAACAATCAAGAAAATTTGGAGCATTGGCAAGAGGTGTGTTTATGAGTGCGGTAGCAATGGCCATCTAAAAGCGAACATTGGTAAAAAAATATTAACTGTATAAAAGAAATCTCGAATTAAGTTATTCTGTCTACACTAAACCGATTCAAGTTGGGCACCTCGAGGCGGTGTAATGGTTAGCAAGCTTGTCTTCCTAGAACAATTACGACTGGTTAGTGAGTTCAATCCTAACTGGGTGCTCCATACTTTCGGCCTTGTGCCACATCTAAGCTACGCTTGGAAAATCAATAAAACGATTCAAGTTATTGGACGAAACGAAATTTATATTAACAAATAATGTCCTTTTGTTTCGTTGTTACCCTCAGTTTTTCATATTACTTCTTTTCGTCATTTCTTTTTATGCCATGGATTTTGAATGTCAGTTCTTTTTATGTCATTTCTTTTGAATGTCATTTCTCTTTATGTCATTTATTTTATGTCATTTCTCTTTATGCCATTTCTTTTTATGTCATTTCTTTTTATGCCACTGATTTTGAATGTCAGTTCTTTTTATGTCATTTCTTTTGAATGTCATTTCTCTTTATGTCATTTATTTTATGTCATTTCTTTTGAATGTCATTTCTCTTAATGTCATTTATTTTATGTCATTTCTTTTTATATCATTTCTTTTTATGCCACTGATTTTGAATGTCAGTTCTTTTTATGTCATTTCTTTTGAATGTCATTCCTTTTTATGTCATTTATTTTATGTCATTTCTTTTGAATGTCATTTCTCTTTATGTCATTTCTTTTTATGTCATTTCTTTTTATATCATTTCTTTTTATGCCACTGATTTTGAATGTCATTTCTTTTTATGTCATTTCTTATGAATGTCATTTCTCTGTATGTCATTTCTTTTGAATGTAATTTCTCTTTATGCCATTTATTTTATGTCATTTCTTTTAATCATATTTCTTTTGATGTCATATCTTTTGAATGCCATTTCTCTTAGATGCTATTTCTGTTTAAGTTCTTTCTTTTGAATGTCATTTCTTTGTAACTCCTTTTTTTTAATTCCATTTCTTTTGGATGTCATTTCTTTGCTTATTATTTCTTTTGATTTTATTTTCATATCATGAATGTCATTTCTTTCTAAATTATTTCTTTTGAATCAATTATTATTGCGTTAATCAGGGACTTTCTTTTTATTTTATCCTCAAATAACTTCATATTGTTTTTAACAGCACAGAACGTAGAACAGTTCAAATAGTTATATATATATGTCAATGATCCAACAAAGTTGAATATTACCTTATAAACGCAAATCTTTCTCAAACTCTCGAAGCATTCATATCTGCCCAGTTTCGTATCCTAAACTAAACAAAGCAATTTATAAAGAATTGATGGATTTTTATTTGTTAATCCGACAGATTTTATAACTTAAACGTTATTTTTAGAGGATTTATTTGAGTAGACGCCCCGTTTATTTATTAAATAGCATATTTATTTTCGTCGCGAAATCTTAAAGAAAAGTACGCGCTCTCTGGCAGGATTCAAACCCACGTCCCACTTGCTGGAAGCCATCGTTAGATACGACATTCTTTAGACCATTTCGGCCATGAAATGAGGTGATGATCAGGCGAGATTAAATAGTTTCTTATAAACTCGAATTTTTTATTTTTTCTTTTGATAAGTGGGACGCGGGTTCCAATCCTACCGGAAGTGCATATTATTTTTTTAATAATATTTCTCGAATATTCAGGCCGGTAGGCGAAAATAAATAAATATACTGTTTAATAAATAAACAGAGCATCTACTCAGATATGGGTATCCTCTTTGAATAACATTTAAGTAATAAAATCTGTCGTATTAATAAATAAAAAACCATCACTTCTTTAGAAATTGCTTTGTTTACGCCTGGATGTGAAACTGTGAAGATACGAATGTTTCGAGAGTCTGAGAAAAATTTAAGTTTATAAGTCACTATTTATATATTCAAGCATAAAATTAATCCTGTTTCAATATTTCGGGATAAATTTAATTCTGTTTCAATATTCCGGGATACTGAACATATACAAATTTACATTTAACCAAAATTTCGTGATTTTCCAACTTAAATGTTGGAACGCATTGTAGATTGTACTTAGAAGTCGTCATGGAATGCTGACTGAATCAAAATTTAAAAAAAAATAAAAGAATTCCATTTTTTTCTTTCTGACGCAGCAATGTTAATTACTAAAATGAGTAATTCATCGACTTGAATTCTAAGATACGTATAAATATTTAGAGTTATTTGCAAGTCTACTGAGGATTGGTTTGTCAGGACATTTGTCGCAACTGACTGAGCATGTTTAAGCAAAGTAATGTTTCTGTTCGACGTTTGATATATTCTGCATGTTGGGGATTAATGCCATCAGAAATTACTTGAGTTATAAACCACCATTTTGGGAAATAAACACCAAATCCAAATTCTTTATTTACTTCTCCGGGAACCAATTAAAGTATTAGGTTGAGTCATAAATAATTTCCGTTTTTGTTTATAAACTTTATTCTTAAAAAAACAAAGACAAAATAAAATAAAATAAAACAGAATTACATTTAATTCAATTATATATTTACCATTTTATGTAATGACTTATTGCCACCACCTCGCAGGCACCGCCGCTTCCATTTGAGTAAAATTCCGCAGATTTTGATGTGAAAAGGTTTTCGAAAAATTCTTGAATCTGGTTTTCATTAGAGAAAGTTTTTCCCATTAAAAGTGTTTTGCATCGATCGAAAAAATTCGATTGATGGAAGGTTGGGTGAATCTAGTGGGTGGAGCAGAACAAACCAACCGATATCCAAAATATTTTCCTCTATTGTCTTTATTATATGCGGGCGTGTGATGGCATGGTGTGTGTGTGTGTGTGTGTGTGTGTGTGTGTGTGTGTGTGTGTGTGTGTGTGTGTGTGTGTGTGTGTGGTGGTGGTGGTCAACTAATTTCCCTTTCACCCTCTGTGTACGCTGACATTGCCGTTATGTTAGTACGCTCCAAATTTATTCTTAACTGTTGCGTATGAGTAGTAGTTAAGGTGATATAATTATTACAATTAGTTTCTAAAAAAGAAATTACTTATTACTCAACCGAATTGATAACCCTCAGATCAGATTATTATCATTATTATTATTATTATTATTATTATTATTATTATTATTATTTCCTTTGGTTTCAGGTGTATACTCATTTCTTTCCGGCTCCCGACCAGAGACCTAATGCTAGAAAATGCATCATAACATTTTCCACTGAGCAGATTTTGAAAA